TAGAGGAGTTATTTTTGGATTATAACTATTCGAATCCTCTAGCCAGCATGGCCACATAGAGCCTGAGAGTTGCAGTTCAAAAAAAGAGTAATACTGTATTTATAATCTACTTAAATACTTCAGTAGGGTGCAGTTGTGAAAGTAAATACTTTATGTAGTTTTCCTCTATATACCTTGAAGAATAGAGAACACAACCACTTTCTTAACTCTCTGCAGCTCAGTCCTGTACAAAGTTGGGGTTGCCTAGACCCATTAGAACCAATGGGTTAAAGAGTTCTTAATTCTGCATAGGATTTCCAAAGCATAGCCATGGTAGTTTCTTGTAGAAAAAATGCTAGATTAGACAGTGTACACCTCTTTATTATTTATTTATGTGTCATTTATATGTCTCCTTTCTCCCAATAAAGGAATTCAGGGTGTCTTGTAGTGTTACTTTTCTACCTTTTGAATATCCCTAAGTGATGAATGTCTCTTGATTAGGTGGGTTTCCACTCATTCTTAGGAACAATCTGTGCTAAATTCAGTGGCGAACATCTAGTAGGAAGTTGCTACTAAAGTAGCCTATTGAATCAATGTGAATTGAACTGACTCACCAAATACAGTGGTGCCTCGCTTGACGAGGATAATTCGTTCCAGCGAAATCACAAGAGTGAAATCCTCGTCAAGCGAAATAAAAAAAGCCCATTGAAATGCATTGAAAACCGGTTCAGTCCGTTCCAGTGAGCTAAATACCTCAGTGTCCAGCGAAGATTCTCCATAGGGCAGCCATTTTTCATGCCTGTGCAGCAAAAAATTCCTTCCTGAACACAGCGGGGAGCCATTTTGACCAGCTGGTGGCCATTTTGAAAACCTGACAATCAGCTGTTTGATCATCATAATGTGAGGAATCAGTTCCCAAAGCAGGGAACCGATCCTCATAAAGCGGTTTTTGCCCATTAAAACATCGTTTTGCGATCGCAAAAGTGATCACAAAAACTTCATCGTGAAGCGGATTCGTCGTCAAGCGGGGTAAGCGTTAAGTGGGGCACCATTGTAAATCCCCACTGATTCTAATTAAGTCTTAGTACTGGATTTCAGCCAGTGGTACTGGCTTCTGACTACATAAAAGTGTGGTGCGTATAGACAGAACTTTCTAGATCAAAGGCGAATAATATCCAAGTAGAACAGTGAGATAGGAAGGTATGATTCATGCTATATGGTTTCACAGGGTTGTGTGAGGTCAACACAACTTCTATCTTTGAGATTTCCTGTAGGTATTTATTTATTGTAGTGACTGGCAGCCTTAGTAAGGTTTTTAATGAGTTTTAATGTTGCTTATTTTTTTTTTTAGTATAGTTTTCATTTGATCCTCTTTAGTATTTTTTTATACTCCCTGTTGTCAGCTTTAAATACTGTCTTTTAATGATGTAAACTGTGTTGGGTCCTTTTTAAGGAGAAAGGCAGGATCAAAAAATACTTTAAATAAATAAATAAACAAGCTCTTGTCTCAAAATACAGAACAGTGTATATTAAAAACAGAAAAACCACCTTAGTTGGAAAATTACTTATGAGTGCATAGAATTCTAAAATTAGCTCTCAAAGCTTAATTTTAAACTCTAGCCTGGTGTAACCTTAGCTTGGGGTATGAGTGACATTTTAAACAGCAGCTTCTTAGCTTTTAAATTGGAAATCCTTGTAATGTCCTCTGTATGCAGGTGGTATCCTTAGAAGTCTTGCCTGCTGACTAGAGAGCCTCTGAATAAGATGCTCCCGAATTGCATGTAAACATGAAATTGGTACTGTTTGAGTCTTGCACCTTGTAAGTTGACAGCAAGGTGGAAACCCTGGGCTTGAATTGCAGATTTGGATGATTGACGATCAGAGCAAGGGCATCTTGTCAGGAAGATAGGCTAGCGCAGCTTGAGCTTTCCAAGATCCTCTAGTTTTGGCAAGGCTTGTGGACGGAGGAGAATTTGGGATAGGCTGAGAGGAGTGAGTGGAATGGTGATGAAGCTTGTATTCGCTCTCTTGGCACCAGTTGATTTTCAGCACTGTGCATAGAGTAGGACCTGTTCGTCACATTATGGCAAATATAAATCTGTATTGTCATTCCTTTCTGAGCTTTGGTGTGATTTTTTTAAACTACAATTCCCAGATGTTCCACTCCAGGCTGCCTGTCTGGGGTATTTAAAAAAGCAACTTTTTCAAGGTGGCATTAATCATTTCATGGCTTACTTGACTATTCTCATGAGCTATTGAAATATATAGTTGTTAAGGTGTTTGACTAAGAGTTAGGACACCTGGGTTCAAATCCCCACATGGCCACAAAACTCACAGGGTGATGTCTGTTGCTGTTGCTGTTGCTGTTATTGTTTGTTATTGTTATTGGTATTACTACTACTATTAGTATTATTTATTAGGTTAATCTTGGTTGAACAGTGGAAGGAATGAGAGTTGTTAAAAAATTAAATATCCAACTGACAACTCCCCAGTTTTATTTTTTCTGTTCTGGTGCCAGTATACACTAGTCTTTTTAAAAAAGCAACTTTTTCAAGGTGGCATTACTCATTTCATGGCTTACTTGACTATTCTCATGAGCTATTGAAATATATAGTTGTTAAGGTGTTTGACTAAGAGTTAGGACACCTGGGTTCAAATCCCCACATGGCCACAAAACTCACAGGGTGATGTTGAGTCAGTCACACTCTTTCAGCTACAACCTTTCAGGATTGTAGTAAAAAAAAAATCACGAAAAGGAATGACATGTATGCTGCTTTGAGCTCATTGAAAGTGAGGTGAAATACTAATGTTGATATGAGAACAGTAATAATAATTTTGCAGCCATTTGAAAATAATTCTGCAGCCTAATTTGTTTCATTCACTGTATCAAAAGAAATGAAGTGCACTCATT